GGTAGTGAGCATAGTTTAGATAAATAACATATAAAAATTTCGCTAAGATTCATTCACTAACAAAAAAGTTATAGCTTTTTTACATGTCGGATATGAACGGTACAATGGCAGCGCAAATCGCTCATATGCGAAAACCTATCAAATTAGGTTACTTCCTTAGGATTTCAGAAACTCTATACAAAAGCTTTTGCGCATAAGTTCTAAGATAGCTGATGTTGTAGAGGACGTCAAGCTGAGTTGCATGAAAAACGTTTTGGCCCGAAGTCGACAGCATCATAGTTTTTTCAGACTGACTAGATGCGGTGTTTTGTATGCTTTGATCTTAAGGATTTCAATCAGAATGCATGAAAAAAAGATTTTCGATCACTGATGCGTAGTCAGCATGACGACGTCGCTAAGGGCAGATGACAAAGAAAGTTTTTCAGGCGGTCTAGGCTATTTTCCAAAAAGAAAAACCAACCGACTAATAGAAAACATGCACTTTTGCAATCAGAAAGGAAAGTTCCCTTTTTGTATCATACCCTAGAGCGTTTGAACAGTTTTCTTTGGTATTTGCCCTTGATGACCTGGTCGTGCTGAGTACAAATCAGTGATAGAAAGTTTTTTTACATGCTTCCTGGTTGAGAGATAGAGAGGCCAAAATACTCAAAAATGGCATCTTATGAGTCTCAAAAAGCTAAGATGCCGTCGACTTCGGATCAAAATTTTTTTCATGTAACTCAGCTCGACGTCCTCTACAACATCAGCTATTTCAGAAATTACGCGCAGAGACTTCATATAATTGTCTCGGAAATCCCATGGAACAAATCTGTTTTATCTTTCTCTCATAATCTTTTTACTTTCTCACAAGAATTTACACCCTCCTTGATTTTTTCTTTCGCCATGACCTTGATAACACGACTAAATTGAATATCCCCTCTTTTTATTTTTAAACACCCAGTAGAATTACCGCGATATTTGTTATTTAGCGAATAACTCACTAATTCCAATAGATTATAAACGAATAGAACAGAAGATAAAATATCATTTGTAGACTTTTTGTTTAATTCTGGAATTTTTTTTCTTTTAATAACGAGAAAACATACCTAATAAGCACATTTTTACTGTCCTCAGCAAACAACAGAAGACATGTAACAAAAATAACAGATATCAACACTAGCAAACAGAGAATTCTCTTTTTATCAGTTGGGTACACCCGAGATTTCTAATCTCCTTTGTTGGACAACATCTTTCCTACAAAGTGGTGAAAACTTCACTTCGCTAGGTGTTTACTAGTTACTCAAAATGCATTCAAGTTCATTCTACTTTCAAATAAATGTAGTAGTCTGTTCTCTCAGTTATAAATCAGAGCGAAATTAAGAGACGAAGAGATAGGTTTTACAAACAACATGTGTGTTTCTTAGAAAAGTATCGATGATCTTTCATCTCATGGTTAGTTCTAGACAAGTTAAAATGAAGCACATGCTAACGTTGATATCGCCTTTTCATACCAGTCATTTGGATTAGATTTGTCGTTCCTACTTTCCCTACAAATATCACCAATATTTGCTTCCAGTGTTACTATTTCAATATAAAAAAGTCTTTTGAATGTGTTGTAATAATCTAATGCAAGGTCGTAGTGGGATTTAGCTTGATCGTAATTACTTTGACATTTATAAATATTACCCAGATATGTATGACTAATAGACCTATTTTTCCGTCTCAGTTCACTAAACAACTTTTTGTTATGTAATTCGTTGAATTTATCATCTGTTAGTATTTCAGTGTCTGCATGATTTTTAAGATAGCCATGCAAAACGTTGTGCCATTCGTGAAGTTCTAAATCTTTTTGCTTCGTATTTGTTACTTGGCTGTAAAGGATTTTTATATTCTTTAGACATTCTTTGATAGTACTAAATCCTACTTCATTAGAAGGTAACGAGAAAAGGTACTGATCTTCATTGTAGTTATCCAATATTACTTTATAATACATTAACTTTTTATGATCATTGTTCTCATGACAACATAAAAATATATAATTATCCTGAAGTGTTCGAACTAAATATTTTGTCACATCAGCTTCATACATTTGTTTCATTTCATGACTCTGTACCATTTTATATTTTTTTAATAATTTTAGGAATTCTTGATATTCATGTAGATGACACTTACTGGGCCTGATAATAAAAAAAATTTCTTATTACAAAATCTAAACGACTTACGAAGTTTATTTAGCTAACCGTATTTTTTGACGTGTATCATCGATCGACTCTAATAAACTAATGATATAATCTTGAAATAATGGTACATATTTTATTATTTTAATTAAAGCGTTTCTATATGTAAGCAATGCTTGAAAATAATTTTTTTCTTCAAAATATTTTTTACCAATATCTTGATATACGTCCAAAGCAACTTTGTCTTGTAGTTGAATTAATTTTGGAAAACGTTCATACTCAGTAGGGTAAGCAATATCATTTGCTAACGACATTTCTAAATATTCTATCGAATTTTTGTACTCATTTATTTTGTAGTAAATAATACCGATTTTATTCAAATAATCTTGGATAAATAAACAATCTTTTATCGGATCACAACTGGCTCGAGCTATATTTAGATGTTCTATAGCTAAGTTGTATTGTTTTTGTATAGTATATACTTGAGCAAGTGATGCATGAAAATTAGCGAATGGAAAGTATTCAATACATTTGTGATAACATTCTATTACTTTATCATATTCGAATTCACGTAAATAGGTCATTTCAATTTCTTCATAACATCGAAGAAGAATCTGGTTTGTCTCTTCAGTAGTATTGCTGAAATGTGTAAGATAACTATCTAGAGCTCTTTTATAATTATCTGTGTCGCCATTCCATTTTACGGATTTCTTATCATTCCATTTTGCTATTTCAAGATAACAGCGGGCAATAACTCGATAATCAGGTGGTAGTGTTTGATTGTAGATCTCTAAAGCTTTTGAAATGTAATTTAATGCGTCACCATTGTTTGATATGATTCCCATATTAAGATAACTAGCTGCTTTAAATAAAGGTGATAATGTGTTTCTCTTCAAGATATTTTTAAAATAATCTAGCGATGTGTTCAGTTGTTCCGTATTAGAATATGATAATTCGACTGAACACTAAAATTCTCGAAAAGATCAATATTAGTAAGTGCAGTTTCTGAAAGAAAGCTTGCTTGAACTGTTTGTTTATTACACATGAAAAGATAGTCCTACGTTTAAAAGTCCAACACTATTCTTGCATGGTCCGCAGCTGTTGTCTGTCTCTGGTAATTTATTTATCATCATTAATATGTTGTTCGGTGGTCTATTCATTCTCATGTTGTATACCCATTCGAACTTTTAAATACTTTCGAATTAATGCAAACTAATTTCGAGATTCAAAGATATCCGGTCAAGGTCAGTCCAATTGATAGTTTGCAGGTTTTCACCAAGAAAGAGTCATTCAAAAACTTGAAACTAAACAGTTATTGGTGAAAATAGTTGCTCTATCCAAATATGTAAACG